TTATTCTACGACGGAACGCTATTCTACGACAGAAGGTGATAAATTCATACGAAATTAACTCCAACTAAATTGTCTCTTATAACTTCAAGTTTCAAATAAACGTATATGAAAGTTCCTCCATCCGCACACGAACGAGGTTTTATTTGGGAGAACGGCATCACCCCGTTTTGATTTCCCGTCATCGTGACTCGCCCCCGCTGTGATTTGCGAGCCATGAGCGCATATTGCAGATCGGGCGGATATGGCTTTCGCATAAAGTGGCGTTACATCGTGCATGCGAGTAAATTAGTCGCTTAATCAAACCGTTTAATCAGCGGCATGATCGCGACCGCATCTGGGCGAGCTGTTCGCGCCAATTATCTCTCGTCCCTCCGCGCCTGCTTCCGCTCGCACAACCGCGTATACTGACGTAACTATCAGGAGGGGGGGGGGGAACGGTACGTAGCTTGGGCGCGAGGTCTGATGAGGAAGGGGGGAAGCATTTGCAAAATTGACCGAATCTGGTGATGCTGTCAAACGAGCTGGAAAAGTTTGTATCCTTCAGTATTTTTCAAACCTGGCAAATAATGTTTTGTATTATTAGCCGTATTCAACATGTTGATTAAAAAACGTTGCACTTAACGGATATGAAATTTGTTATCATATTGCGCTCGATAGTTGATGTAAAAATTGGGCGCTTTGTTTTGTCTCATCAAACTTTTCTTTCCAAGAAATAGCTCTGACTTGATTTCGACATATATCCAACTTTAATTTGTATAGATTTTCTAGTCAGAATCCGTAATTTTCTAGGAAATAAGATTAATTAGATCCCAGACTTTGTCCTATATGTGGGCGACTTTTGACTCTCACGTTTCGTCTCTGGAAAAATTATCATGCTTTCGACTTGTCGCTGCTTTATTTGCACCTATTTCTTCTCATAACTTCTCGTTGCTTTGTTCTTGACATTTGCGCTGGTCATTCAATAATCTCCGTAGGAAAGCTTCTTCCGACGGCGAAGGTAAAAAAATGCTCTACTTTTTGACATGAGAGGTCGTATTTTATCAATGAGAACAAAACGTGAATCCCGCTAAGCAACCGACGGGAAAGTAAAAATGCTTTTTTTCTTTTTACGCTTACCATGTTGACCAACAATGAAGAACGACTAATCGTATATCCGAAAAAAATGAATTACAACACCATGAAAGCATAAGGAAATTTTTTAGGGTCGCGAGGTCGTTTAAACTAGAGCAGTTTTTTACAATGCGCTTTTCACGAATTTTCCAAGAATCGGAGAAATCGGACAAGCGAGGAAAAATTGCCGGTTGACGAATCCGACGATATACAATATAGGTTGACATTTCGAGGCGATATTACGAAAATAATTTTTTTTTTTCGTAAGAGTGATACGTCAAAAAAATTAGAACAATTCCTGCACTCAACATTAGGCAGGCTGAACTTTTATTGAACGGTGAAACGTATTCGAACGTGAACGAAAAGGAAAGAATATTAAACTTGCTTAAAAGTACTATGGGACAAGTCTAATAACCGAAAATGTCTTGGAAAGTGCAACTAATTGCGGGTTGCGTCATGAGATACTCATAATAGCTTTTTATTTCCGCATCATGTCTCAAGGTAAAGGTGTCTAGCGAAAAATATGGCAGAAGAATAAATGTACGATCTGCGTCAAGACTGCAGGATGTGGTCCGGATTACGTGTCCGGGGTTAAGGTTTCGCAATGGAGGATGTTTTAAAACTCAGTCCATGACTTGCATCTCAGGCCTATTCTTCTTTCGTTATACTTGGTGGTAAATCTCAACAAATTTATGGTTTCCAGAAAGGTAGATTTGACACACCTCCTTTACATAACCTCTCTTTCAATGCAATTTTTATGTTGCAATAATATTTAATGTCCTATTTTAATTGCACCGCTCAAACATCTCGGAAACATGTCAAAACGATTTTGCAATAATGATATTATGCGAATAATTAATTTCTCATGTACTAAAGATAAATTTCCCTGTTTATTTAAATAAGTTTTGTTTTCTTAGTAGTATTTCTTGTTTCAAGTATTTTGTAAATTTATATGTCCGTAAATATATCGTACGTGTTCATTAGAGAAATATCAAATTTATCTAAGATACATTCTTTATGTTAATAAGTTTAGTACTTTAATCAAGAATATTAAAATAAAAACAAGAATATCAAATTAAACTAAAAATTCGATTTGCTCCTCATACAGAGTATAAGTTTTATAGTTTTTGAAAAAATTTTTGAAAAGAGAATAAATTCTTTTTCTCGAATATACAATAATGAATTTTTCTAAAATTTCTAGTAGATATATTTTAAGACTACCATGAAAAAAATATTCTTTGTATAAAAAAACTTCGAAGAAAATTATTTAAAAGGAAAAAAATGAACTGAAGGAGAATAATTATTTTTTCTTTTAGTAGCAGGATAATTTTTTTTTCTTATAATGTATTTTAGCTCCACGAATATAAATAATGCAAATAAAACGAACAAACATAATAAACATATAAACAACAAGTAAGCATAAGGAAGTAAACGATTAAATTCAAAAGTAAAGTTTAGTATATAATAAATTTCGAAACACGAAATTTATATGCATAAACCAACATTACATTGTTTACAACAGTTACAACAAATGTTATAGTTATGCATTTAACGGCTGCCGACCAAAGTCAACGATCAGCCGTAGATATATACATTTAATGGCTGTCAACTGAAGTCGAGGGTCGTGTCGAAAGGTTAATATTCGGATCGAATTTCTCGCGGTTGGCACGTCGAAGGATATGTTCCTCCTGCAACATCTCGCGCTTAATAGAGGTAATTAGAGGCGTTCTTATTCGCAGGCTGCCAGTCACTGGTTGTTTCTTGCCGCAGCCAGCTGCGGTCGTATTTGATCGGCGATTATAGCCTTGAGAGTGTTTCAATAGCGTGGATTCTTTCAACCTCGCCTTTGATCCTTTTCTTCTCCTTAATACGTGTGCCGACAGTGCAGTAATATTGTCCCGCAAGACATCATCGACGCGATATGCGCGGTGGGACGAGTGAATTTTTTTCCTCCCAACATAGTATCACAGATACTATTAGATGTTTTGGTTAACTCTGACAGTTGACAGTGGATGGATTGTTTATTATTTATTGTTTGAATTATTTTAATTGAGATATTTTCCACTGCTTGCTGCGATCTCTTCTCATTTTTCTGGCAATAAGTGGATTTCACGATAGGAACGACTTATCTTTAAAAGCAATTCATTCATTATCAATCCTCAAGCCCTCAAAAACCGAACAATAACCTCAAAATATAACCGAAACATTTAATATTGATGTCGTCTTCCGAAATGCGCTGAAAGTATTGATACTATCGTTTCCGAAATTGTTTTTAGCGTGCTGCAAGAGAATAATAGTTACTATTTCTTTTTAGCGAAAATAAGCGCTAGAGAGAACTGCCAACTTCTAGCTGATTCTGCATATACTCCCGAGGTAGCGCAAGTTTAGTAATGCATATGGAGGCTAGTCATTTTTTGTAATACTTTATTAAAGCATCGGTTATTCAGTTGTTCATCAAATATCTCGTTCAATTTATTACACTCATGCACGCACGTTAAACGTGCAGAAGAATTAATCGGTCAGGCATTAGATATTCCCCTCTCACCCCTTTGTTACAAGCTATTTTCTGCAAAACTACTGGAATTATGGCCTTGAATTTTTTTTTATATTAAATAGAACATGGGACTCTTGACTATTCAGCATGTAAAAAGATTTTTGAAGAGGGCTTTTAGAGGAACAAAAAGAGAGCTTCCTGATTTTTTAAAATAGTACGGGATATAGTTGCTTCATTATTATATTATTTCTTTAGAGCTCTCATGAAGATTAGTAACTTTTATTTGAAATATTTTTTTTTTATTTTGCGTTGTTGAGTTATAGCGAAGAATTCCAGCCGATTTATTAGATATATCTAGACTATTCTACTAATCGAGTAGATTCCAAGTTATTCCAACCTGTTACTTAATAATCCCGATAATTTAAGCCACAGACCTAGTAAATCTTAAGCCACAGACCTAGTAAGTTTTAAGATCTTATTATGCCAGCTTGTGTATGTATACTCATTTACAAAACGGCTTTTATACATGTTTTCCAATAAACTTAATCCTTAAAATAGATCGTCAAAAAGGAAAGAAAATCATGGGTTAGTACTATCATGGGTGAAATTTTATTCCAATATATATTTTTTATTGTCTAGAAATAAAAAAGTCGAACAAATGCAATTAAATATTTCATTATTATTGAATATTAGATGAAAAATAGAGAAGCTATTGTTTGCAGCGGATAATTTAACATTTAATCAGATCAAAACGAAATATTCGCATGAGGTGAAATTCACCTATATATTTACTTACTTTACTTACTTTTAAGGTACTTTTTAAGAATTAATAACGCACGAAGTGCGTTAAATAGCGAATCACAGGCTTGCGTATAAATCGATTATGATAAGAATTGAAATGACAGTACACGGTGTAAATATCGGCCTTTTATTATACTTTTATCCGACGGATCAAGACATAACAAAGATACTTTCCTTCCTTCTGTATCCCCTCCGTCACAGTTGTGACAAAACAAATGTCTCAAATCTCGTCGCTTCTTCTTGTGTTAACCAATCATCGCGCAAGCTCACGATTAGTGTCTCGCAATCGCAATCATTTAATGTACTCATCAGAAAAAATGAGTGAAAATCCTTGTGCACACACACGTGTGTACACAGAATAAGCGGCGAGCGCAGAAAGTGGCAGAAGTGCAGTACGAACGAGCAGACTTCATCTCGCGGGAGAGATCCACTACGTTGCTGTTACGCACGGAATACTGCGCGTCGATTGGTCACCTCCCACCACCGTCGCTATCCTAGCGGCTGACTCTGGCCAATCGGAGCCGAGGGATTATCATCGCAGAGAACCGCCCGTGCAGTTCACATTCAGCGTAAGCATAAACAGTAAGCTCGGTTAGTAGACAGTTAGTCGGAGGCTAGTTGTACGCCGGGAACTTCGCGTTATCGACTTCTTGAGGAACAGCGGACGTTTCTCGATTCTGCGTCTGTGATCACTCAGCGAGAGAAGCGCAACGACGCAACACGACCGCGAAGGAACTAAGCATATAATATAAAATATATTTATATTTATATCAATTATATTTATATCACGGTCTCGCGCGCGCGTCGAGAGTGAAAGTGCTATATGCTATGTTGTATGGACCACAGTATGTAAATCATGATTATCCCGCGGTGGATTATTTATTCTCGCCCTTGCTACGAGAGCGACAGCGAGAGACAATGATCATCGATGTGGTTCCCCCGTGTTATCAACTCAGCCAGACGCGCATCTCTTCACCCACGAATGTGTCGAGCAGCACCGAAAATGGTGAGTCCGGCAATGGCATTCGCAGCGATAGTCCCAACGGTAAGTGAAATTTATGAGTAACTTTGCACACACACACACACACGCACACATACGCGCGCGCGTACATGGGGCAGACCGGGGCTGAATGGTTCTAGGAATATTTTGCATGTATGTTTAGTAAGAGGAAAATAACAAAAGAAAGATAAACACAATCACTCCTTTCCCCGAGTTTCATTCAGAGCGAAATAACGTTGCGGTTAGAGAAGAGAAGGGACTGATCGAAGAGCAGCGAAGTAAACTTTCGAGCGTCTCGATATTTCGTGCTGATATTCTCCGTCGGGAGAGTGAGGGGAGTGAATAAAGTTGAGGGACGTGTTGTCGGTTAGAACGAAGTTTGCCGCAAATATGCGACACGCTATTTCCGGCAATTGAGAGCAAAATAAAAATAAATAATCTCATTCATAAAGTGATTGAAGTCGAGCATATGGGCGGACGAAGTGAAGTTAGCCTATGCTTGTGGTTAGCTCATGCTTGTGCCAATCACAGCGCTTACTTCCAGCATGAGCTGATACGAAGTCGTAGATATCCGAAAAAATCGCAGAGCGGAATTCTCAAAGTGTCATAATATTTGTCGCATGCTCCGTCAAGACCTATTTATACATGAATATCCCTAGTATACATGAATATCCCTAGTAGCACATATTGTTGGGCCAATATTGGCTATAAATTGGGCCTCCAATATTGGCCAATGTAACCTCAATGTAAGTCAATATTGATATAACAATACTATGCAATATTAGCGATATATTGTAATTTAATGTCTCACCAATATTGGCTGCATATTGGGATATATTGGGCCAATGTAACCTCAATATAAATCAATATTGGTATAATAATGCTATGCAATATTGGCGATATATTGTAATTGAATGTCTAACCAATATTGGTTGCATATTGGGATACTATGGGCCAATGTAACCCTAATTTATGTCACAGTAGCTAATGTAACATCAATGTAACGCCAATGAAGTGTGCTACTAGAGAGATGCATCAATTCGGGACCCACTTTAACGTAAATAGAAAACGAAATTCATTATATTCTGCCCGTCGGAGATGTGTCTTTGCACTTTTTCTTGCGAAGCAAAAGAGCGACAGAATTATTACAAAATAATTGCAAACGTTGAAATATGTTCCAAGGTCAGGATCATTTGTTTCCTTTTTATTTTATTCATCCTTTCGTTTCGGCCGGCTAGCCCAGCGAGAGATGCTACATGTTTATATTTCATTCATCACAAATAAGATACGAGGTTTACAGGATCGTCAGGGGCATAAACACATAGAAGAAGGTAAAGTCAGTCACAACAATTAGTTGTCTGAGCAGCTGAGAGGCTAATTTCGAAGTTGTGAATGGGTATCTAGCCCCGGTCTCCCCTGCTTGTTTGAAGCGCGATGCGTAAGCGAGAATTAACGATCGGGAAAATGCGACGTAGAAGAAATGAGAAGAAACGGGGCGATAGGGCGAATTGTTTCAGACTTGTGCATGTACAAGATCGTCGAGCAAGGAGAGCTAGGACGGAGCTCGTTAGCTTTTCCCTTTCTCTCTTACGTCTGATTTTGTTATTACTGTGCCGCAAGAACATGCTATATTCATCGTCATTGACGGCGAGATCGCGACACTTTTGCTTCGATAAATTGAGAAATCAGTATCAATGGGAAATATTTATCGTCTAAATTGGAAGACACAAATACTCTTCTAGCGATGCGTCGTGAAGGTTACTGGAAAAACGTGGCGATCTTCCTGCCATTGACTATATTTAGCGGTAGAGCGCACATATAAGAGTAGCATATTGCAGTGTCTTTGTGACGACTCGACTGTCAATTAAAAACCGTAAAGTTAACTCGAGAAAAAATACGCACAATCCGATAGGTTTTCTAATTTTTCCTTATTGTATTTGGAAAACCGACGACGGCAGCTACGGCGTCGTACGTATGATTACATTCGCAAGTGTGTGTTATAGCACATTACTACGTTATACTCACTACAGCAGAAAGTGTATATAATTTGAAGAGAGGAGAGAGGAAAGCACTGTACACTAACGGAACCGATTGTTAAACATTTGTTCTCCGCACACAAATGGCCGCACACAGATGAGAGTCAAGTGCGGACTTAATAATTTCAATGAATACTATCGTATGTTGTTACGTTAACATCGAAATTAAAATTGTTTCATAATTTCCTTTTGGAATTCTCTTAAAATTATTTTTAAGAGAAAAATTAAAGAAAAAAGGTTCTTTTAATTGAGCATCCTTGAGTCGCGATATCAATTTATTAACTAGGCGCTATACTTATAGGAAACTATTTTTGTTTGATTTGATGATATAATTACATATAGACAGATCAACCTCTTTGAAACACCCTGTATATGCGTTATTTGTTCATTATTAGAGCAACACGGTTCTCGAAGCAAGATTTTGCAAAGACTCTGAAGATAAACTAAGAAAGATGTATTTCCGTCATTCGATATCGAGCGCGATAATTTCAACGCGATAAGGGAAAAATGCAAGAGAGAGAGAGAGAGAGAGAGAGAGAGAGAGAGAGAAAGAGAGAGAGAGAGAGAGAGAGTCACAAAAAATTATTCACAATACTGTACGCTTCTCAAACTCTCAAACGCTCGTTTCTGCGTCAATCCGACGTCGCGAGTGCGATACACGCCGAGTCGAGTCCACTTTGGCAATTGGGGGTGAGGAGAAAGGGGGTGGGAGACGCAAACAATACGAAATGCTTAAAGTACATACAATGCATATATTTGTATTTAAACATTGTTTTTCTTGTTTTGTCCCGTTTGTGCTTGCGCTGACAAAGGAGAGCGGCCACGGAGAGGACGTACGATCCGTCATTGAAAGCGAAGGGAGTTTGCCAGGTGAACACAACAGGGGCCTGAGACTTTTCCCACAAGCTCCGACCTCTCCCGTCCCTTTAAGTGGGAGCAATCGCTGTTGCTTTTTGCTGATGTTCCCTGTGTAGCGTGCAAGCCACGTTACCGAGTGACGTAAACGTTGTATTCTTCACGCGTTGTATTCTTCCTCTTGAGAGAGAATTCCCGATACTTTGGGGCTTCTATTCTATTGCATGCCGATACGACAAGCGTGAACGCAAATTCGCCCGGAACGGACAAATATTTATGATCAATACTTTCCTCTCGACATTAGTTAACTTGGAACACTGTCTTTTTCTCGCTTACGCAGTTAACACGTTGACTGCCGCGCTGATTGCCATCTATTGATCTCTCGAAGTCTCGGAAAAAATCAAATGAATAAATTAAAAAATTATTAAATTAATTTAAATTGAGATTAATGAATAAATAAATTAATTAGTGACATCATTAAATCGACAAAGAGCAGGAAAGGGTGTCTGGAAAATTCTTTATTGTTTTGTGATTCTCGCATAGTTATAATGCGCGTTTATATTTGTTGTCATCAGGATAATTATAACCAAATACATCAGATTATTTTTTTTCTAAGATCAAGCGAATTAAAATATTTAGAAAACATTGAGAACAATTCGACAAAAAACGCGGCTCCAATGCGGCAGTTGAAATAAATAAATTTGCATTGAGAAAAGAGTCACAAGAAGCAAATATTATTTGTGATATTTTCTTCGATATTTATTGAATATAAAAGAATTGTCCTTTAATGACGGAATATACATTTTTGTGAAAAATATCTAATTTTTTCTTAATAATTATAAAAAAAATTGTTCGCTTGTTGCTGAAGAAATAAATTTACTTGGAGTACACTTTGTTTTTTTTTATAACAATCAAATATTTGGTTATAATAAGATTAAAATATTTATAGACAAGTAACATCTTTTTTCTTCAATTCAGAGGCTCGATTTATTTCTTAGAAAACAAATTTTTCTATTTTTGAGTCAAACTTCACTTTTAGTTTACTGATTTATATACTTGTTATCTAATATGATGGACTAATGGCGTCGTGTCGTAATTTTGGTAATGACTGTGTCTGCTAGTGCAATATTTTTCATTGAATTTTAAGTAAAAATGGAATACGAGTTGAAACAACTATTGTACTAATTTGTGAATTAATGAAAATTATCTAGGAGAGCTAAGAGTATCTCTAACTTAACCTAACTTAATCTAACTTTTAGAAAGTCTATAATTAATAATTATTGCACGACCATCACTAAACGAGATATTTATGTATAAACAAGATACTACTTTGATCTGAGTTTACAATTTTTCCCAACATTAACATTGTATATTAACATTGTCAATTCGAATCAAATTGAATTGCGAGAAAAGCTTGAAATCATTTTGCTAAATTATATTTATTTGTAAGAAATAATACAATTGCTAAAGATTAAAAGAGGATTTGCTGTTTATAACTAAATAATTCATGCTTAAGAAATAAACAATTATTTGTGATAAGTAACACTTATACTAAAAGTATAATAAATGATCCATCTGCTAGGAATAAAATTTTATTTTGTTGTATCTAAGCAAAAGATTTATTTCTGTGAAACGAGTTTTGTACTTTACAAAAAATTTTGAAGTATTTTTTTCTCAGTGTAACATGTATCTTTTGTATTATAGCAAAGCTTCCGCCGCATTGCGCGCACTCACTAATAATCTCACAGTTAACCATTTTCCATGCGATCGCGCCGACAGAGTTCGTCCCGCCGTCTCATACACGTCAATTTACTTTCGTTAATAACTGATAATTTTACAGAGTAATTTTTTTACTAAATTACTATTATTATTATTATTATTATTATTTTATCCTCAGTTTGGCGCATTCTACTTACACATGAGTGCGATGCGACTCGCATTAAACACCCTATATATGAAAACTGAACGCAGTTCCTCGCGTATACAAAATGTTTAAAAAAAAGAGTTCAGGTCTTTAAGGGCAAATAGTACTTACAAAATGAACGAAAAGAATCCTAATAAGCATGGGTCGAAAAATTAATATTGTCTGAGTTATATGAACAATTATTTATTTCAATTAAAGCAAACGACTTACTCGTTTTTGATGTTTTTGTATTCTCTGATGTAACTTGTTTATGTTATTTATCGGTGAAGAAAATACTCCATGTTTTAAAGGAATCCTTAAAGAAAAGTTCCTCTGCTCTTGCTCGGAACGCAAACAAACATATCTATTTTCTTTCTACTTATACATATGCTTTACCAAGCAATTGTTAGTCACGTGAACAGTCACGTTATCCTCGTGAACAACAAACAGTTGCAGAGAGTTTTCACAGTTTTCGCAGTACGGTAAGAATGACATCATATTATCTCAATCAAGAAATGGTAAGAATGCATTTTATATATGGCCGTGCACCAGAAGCGAGTAAGTCACTTGCTTTAACTAAAATAAATAATTATTCATAACTCGAACAATATTTATTTTTCAACTCATGTTTATCAGGACTCTTTCCCTCCATTTTCTGACTACTATCTACCCTTAAAGAACCCTTTTTCTCCAACACCCTGTACACTTCCCACTACGTTTCGTTAATTCTCTAATGACCGTAAAACTAATCTATCGTCGAATTTAACTGGTTACGCTTCATACGTATACACAAACCAATCAGACGCGCTAGAAGCTGTGTCAATCACAGATGATCATTGGCACTCAACGTGTTAACGTGTCAACATGTGAGCGTGATCCAGCTGCTTTATCTAGCGAAAAAGTAAATAGGATCGGCAGCGACCATCGCTAATTCACGGGGCCTATTACTGCTCTACAGAAATGTCGCCAACTCACCACCACCAGCAACACGAGTCGCAGCAGAGGCAGCAGCAACCACCACCGTCGCTACCACCACCGCCACCGCCGCAAACGTCGTCGTCGTCGCAACAGCAGCAACCGCAACAGCAGCAACAACAGCAGCAACAACAACAACAACAACAACAACCAAACGACCAGCAAGTACAGTCGCAACAACCGCTGATGGACCCCAACATCAGAAGATACCGAACCGCCTTCACGAGGGAACAATTAGCGCGGCTGGAAAAGGAGTTCCAAAAAGAAAGTTACGTCAGTCGACCGCGGAGGTGCGAGCTGTCTACGATATTGGGGCTTCCAGAGTCCACCATCAAGGTGAGTTGCGTTCAGCTGTGCGTTGATCGAGGAACGAGTGGACGTTTATTGCTTGCGAAATTCGTCAAATGGTGACTTCATCTGCGACGACGGAGTACGCGATGCGTTCCATTAGCACTTCCGAACGTTCAATCGCAGCAGCTCGGAAATCGTGAAATCATTCCGCGATCGATCGATCGATCGACCGATGATTGGCAGAGATTAATAAAAGCAGGGGAACATCACGAATTTTCCTCAGGTGAGATTTTTTAATAGTAGTAGGAACATATTGTCGATAAAGTTTATTTTTCTAAGCAAATACAGAGTCATTCAGTGTCCAGACACAGAATTTGAGGAATGATTGAGCATTTTTTATTATATAAGTTATATAATCGACAACGTGTTGCTACGTCGTCGTAGATGACGACGTTTTCAGCTGGCGCTTAGAGCAGGCAGTAATCAGCTACATTCTGCATCAATCAGTTGTCAGTTTGGAGAGGTTAACAGGTGCACACAATATATGGCTTCTTTCCAATCTAGACAGTACGTAGTATTTAAAGTCGTGCGGCATATTTTGTGCGTGAAATATGAAATTTAATAGCAAGCTTGTTCCGAAATTGGTTTCGGAAATTTTTAATTGTATCTTCTGCTCAAGAAGTACTCGGAATTGCTCATTTAATTAACACGAGTTTATAATATTTCGAAACCTTTTTGCAGTTAAGTTTTGGTTTACCATTGTACTTAATTTCCGTACAGAATTAGAGCGCGATCTGTCAATTAGTTTGTTCGTGGCAGTTGTTTATGTCAGTCGACTTCAAATATCATCGATTAAAACGTTAAAAGGTAATTGGTCAGCTGATTCATGCGGTCGACTTTACGATCGGGGGGAGACTCGGTAATCAAGATAATAAGTAATAAAACATCTATCCACTTCTCTATCTAATATTACAAAATTAATAGCTAAAATCAAGTTTGTAAACAAAGATAGTACATAGTACTGTGAACGTACAAACGTGGTCAGCTGATCAATTACGGAACGTATCTTAAATTGGTTTAAGATATGTCAACCTTATAAAACCAAAATCAAGCTTTTCGAAACTGATTTCGGAACAGGTGGCGCTCCCTCGCGCACGCATATGTATAGGAATAAAATATGCACGTTTATAAAAAGACTTAAATGTTTAATAAGCTCGTATTTAGAGCATATTAAAGACAATCGTAATCTCGCAGCCTCGGATTCGCCACAACTCGGTTTGACAGTTCATATGAGATTTTCTTATCAGCTGCTGTTTAACCCGTTGTTACGGGTTGAACGCGCCATTCCTTTGTCCAGGACTTGATGCCTCGTTCATACCAAGATCATCGACAGGAATCGATTCTCGAAATAATCTTCGTTCTTAAAAGCGCGAGCGCAACATTGACCACCTTCGTCAGAATTGTGTTCAACGACAATTCCAGGAGAACACGACTGTCATCCTCTTTATCCGTAGTGTTGACTCCAGGGCATCAAAACGACTGCTCTTCCCGCAGCTACTGCTATAGATTATAACAAACGCCGGTCTTCTAAATCTCAATCAGACACTGTCCCGGTTTCAGAATCCAGTAGTCGCGACTTCGTAGCAGCATCTCGTCGAAATTCATTCCTGAAGTCAAACGTGTTCTTCTTCTTAGTCGTCCAAAATGTTGACTCCAGGGCACCGAAGCGGCTTCCTATTCCAACATGAACTGCTATCCCAGGCTTTGCGGGCATTGTTCTCCATAGGAGGAGTCAGGTCTCCATAAGCCAGAACTATTCATGTGGGTGAGCCACAGGTGGGCCAGCGTTTATATAGGTAGGCCAGCGTTTATATGGGTGGGCCATGGTGGGCCTGAAAACTTGGACAGAATAGGACAACATGATTATACTAAAAATTTTCTAAAATTTTAAGATGGGCCAAAGGGTAGGCCAGCGTATTTTCAGATAGGCCAAAGGGTGGGCCAGCGTATTTTCAGATGGACCAGGGCCCACCCAGGCCCACCTTTGGCGCCGCCCCGCTACAGGTCTCAATCAAATAACTTTATCCTTATGAGGCAGCTAAATTGAATATTTCGAATTTTTTAAATCTGACTTCAGATTTTTTGTCATCCCTGAAAAGCCCAAAGAACGTAGGAACACAAGATTTCACAGAAATCCGTCAGGTAGAAAAAATGTGCCACACAAAAGGTTAATAGAGGCAATTAGAGGCGTTCTTATTCGCGGTCCACGAGCTGCCGCTTGTTTCTTGCCGCGGCCAGCTGCGGTCGTATTTGATCGACGATTATAGCCTCGAGAGCGATTCAGTAGCGTGGATTCTTCCAGCCTCGCCTTTGATCCTTCTCCTCACCTCGCGTGTGCCGACACAGTGCTGTAATATTGTCCCGCTAGACATGAGCGACGCGATACGCGCGGTGAGACGGGTGAGCTTCCTTCTTCCCCACGCGAGAGGGGGAAGCTTCTACGTTAACACAAGCCCGGTTCGTCTCGGTTCAGTTTTACGGGCCTGATCCCGGCGATCGCGACGGAGGAAGCGAGGGGACCGGTTGATCCGGTCGAACGAAAGTGTTAAACGACTGAATTAGCGACTACCTCGCGGCCTACCTCTGACTTTAATGGATCTCTTAATTTCTCATCTCGCGCCAGCTCGCAGTCCTCGGCGGTCGTAAAATGTGCGCGCGCCCGCGCTCAACGGCGTGGAGAACTGCCGGGAGGTGTTAAGCGATAGTAAACGTCCTGCACGAATTATCGGTATAATCGTTCGCCGCCTCCGAGAATTCTCCATTGTATCGCTCGCTCCTCGATATGAGCGTGTATGCGCGCGCGCGCGCGCGTCCTCTCACCGAGATTCTATTGCATCTCACGTGTTATTACATGGCGTGTCATCGATATCGCGTCCAGTTTTGATTCGAATTCTTGCTTCGTCGCCGATATCCGTTCACCCGTTGAACGTTGAACGTTGACTGTAGTGTGATGAACTAAACGGTTATTTCAATTTAACAGTGTTACAATGGTTACTGTTATTTAAAAATCACCGGTCGTTTATTTAGTTATTCAGTTAAGCAGTTCTTAACAATTGACTACCGTACAACTGATTCACCGCTAGGAGACAAATTAATCACCTATTTGCCGGTTCGACTATTTCAGCGTGAGTTATTCGATCGTAAAACATTGACTGCGTTCAGGAAACATAACGGTTGCACGACGGTTGAGCAATTCGTCAATATTATTGGTCTAAATGTAAGGATCTAACAGTAAAGATCAATAATCACTAATCGCTCGTGGAGCACTTTGTTTTCCGAACGCAGCCATTGGCCGCACTCAGCAGAAAAAGCTGCTTACTAAGCGCTTAGTGATTATTATCTATGATTGGAGTATTCTTTTAGAGTATTCTTTAACAAATCCAGGGGAATGAACCAATCAGAAACGATAATCACTAAGCGCTTAGTAAGCAGCTTTTTCTGCTGAACGCGGCCATTGGCTACGTTTAGCAGAGAAAGCTACTTTGCGACTGATGTGAATTTGAAGAATTTATTTTATGTACGCTTTTAATTTTGCTGAATCTAAAAGCAGAGTACTAATCAGATTTAAGGCCACTACATTACATAAAATTCCATAAGAACGTAAAACGTAAACGTAAAAAAATCAACCAATCCCAATCGAGTATTCAGTCCTCTTTTTTACTCCTTCAATTTTGTCCGTAAGCCGTAATGTCGAAAAATATCGTAAGGATAAAATTCTTATGGCATATGTCTTTGCGACAGCCAATCATAAATCATCACAGAATATACGCTTTAGTTTAAAATTTGAAACCCGGCTGAGGTGGCAATGAAGGTGAGACTATTACATGCATTTGTCTCAATGAAATGAATGATCACAATTAATATCGTAATATATTTAACATAAAAAGTAATGAATTTTTTGAGGGTGAGGAGGATATGTGATTTACATTTCTTACTAAAGCTGATAATTTTTTCTTCTAATTGTCATCGAAAGAAATATAAATAAAATATCTTAGTCAAACCATAACCTGTATGATGCATTTTTCGGCACAAGATACTCTTTGTTATCAAAGTATCAATGATTCTAATCTTTATATAACTGAGTAAATTTGATATTAATGTAAAATTCGCAATTCAATCAATTATAAAGAGCATTCTTACTATTTAGTGGAATGACACATTGCATCGACACTTTAGTGGTCTGTTCTTTATAGCTTCTTCTTTTTGCTCGTCAATGTTTTTTGTCTGTGACCGAGAATGACCGAGCTTTGCTTCAATTCACAGTGTTCTTTGTACTTGAAGTACAATTCCAAAGAATATAGTCCAAAGACAATAGTTTAAATTTTTATAAACAGAAGATAATTTTTTCGCGTTTGCAATTGGCTGAACTGTGTGTCATAGACTTTACGTCTTATCGGAACACGAAAACAGTACTGTTAATATTATCAACGCATTTTGGAACGCAACCTAAGAGCCATCACGAACATTCTCCCCATTCGGTCCATTCGGCATTAGTCATAAGTCGCACGGTCGCAAGCAAATTAATCAATCATGGTCAATTATTATCTTTGCGATCATAACATCCACGTTATCTTTTCCTGATTATTATTTAATAACAATTAAATAGACAACAGTTGTCATTAGCGCTCGTCCCTCCTAGCATCAAGGTTACAATAATCACAATAAAGTCATATCGAAGTCATAGTGATATGTGCATGTCCTTTTTGTCACAAATGTGATGTCATAGGGACATCACCGTAATCCATAATGATGTTTGAATGTCGCCTTATCGTAAAAAGCCTCTTACAACAAGTCGTTGCTCATAAGCTGCAGAACAAATTGAACAATCACAGCCGATGATTCTTTAGAATGATCGGCTGTGATTGGGCAATGTGCTTATGCTACTGTGATAAAAAAATAAGGTGAATTTGTTTATAAAATGAAAAATCTTTATTCTTCCAAATCAATTTCATCTTCAAAGTATTCTCCGTCCGACACAATGCATTTATGCCAAGGTTTTTCCAATCCTCGAAACAGTAAGAGAAGTCTTTTTCCGGGATGGCCTTCAATATTTTCTTCGATTCGGCTTTTATCTCCTCAATCGAGTCGAAACGGTGTCCCCGGAGCGGTCTTTTGAGTTTGTTGAACAGCCAGAAGTCGCACGGTGCTAAATCAGGCGAATACGGTGGTTGTGGAACGATATGGGTCGAATTTTTAGCGATGTTCTCGAAGAACCAAATGCTGCAGTGTGGGACGGTGCATTATCGTGGTGCAAAAACCAAGAATTGTCTGCCCATAATTCTGGCCTCTTGAGGCGAATAGCTTCACGCAAACGACGCATAACACTCAAATAATATTCCTTGTTAACAGTTTGATTTCCTTGACGTGGCCTTCATCGGTAGATGTTGATGGTCGTCCGGGGCGCTGTTCGCCTTGAACTCGTTCTCGGCCTTCTTTGTACCACTTGTAAACATTTTTTTACGACATAGCCTTATCACCAAAGGTCTGCAACATTCTCAACGTTTTCGCGGCAGAATATTTATTCCGCAAACAAAATTTAATGCAAATTCTTTGCTCAACAAAATCAGACATAGTAAAAATCGAAAAACTCACTTTTGTATGTTTACAAAAACATGTATAGCTCTGCAGCAATTGAATATATTGACATGAAACTCTGCATAGATGTCAAAGACAGTGCTACTAACCCACAAAAAAATAATTTCATGATTTTATAGTACCCGCGAAGTTTAAATGAAAAATTCACCTTATTTTTTGATCACAGTAGTACAACTAATGATTAACGGTTTGTTGTGATTCTTAACCATTTAATCCCGCTGGACAAAGGTACCATAAATAGATTACTAAAACAGTTCTGTCGCTTCTTGAGATTTAAATTAAAAATGCTTGTATTTTTTATTTAAAATAATATTTGAACCATTTTGTGTAAATGAAGTTTTTTGTTTCATCACTTGTGTGAAACTCTTTAGTAAGCGTATGACATGTCAAATTTGAATTCATTTCAATTATTGTTCTTAATTCATCAGTATCTAAACTCGATGGTGTTCCTGACCTGGTTTCGTCTTCTAAGGATTCATCTCTTGAAGCAAATTTTTTCAATCATTACTGAACGGTTCTTGTACGATGTTATTGTATCATCAAGTCAAGTGACAGTTACATAACTGTTGTAATTTCCCATTCAATAATACGTAACTTTTACAGGACACACATTATATCGCATTATTGGCGAGTTATAGCTAACAGTGATGTTACTTGGTGTTTGCCGGGTTGTAAATATGATGTCCCTACTGATATCATATTTATGACTTCAGTGTGTGATTATTGTGATTATCTTAATATGAGAGGTCTCTCTCAGACCCGCGCATATAGGCGCGCGCCGTAAACACAGCTTGCTCTAAATCTCGCAAAAATCTGCTGGCAGGTCTGGTTTCAAAATCGCCGGATGAAGGACAAAAGGCAACGCATGGCGTTGGCTTGGCCGTATACGATGTACACAGACCCGGCGATCGCGGCGACGTTGCTCGCTGCCGCATCGCTGCCGCCCGTGTCTTATCACGGCGCCCCAGGTTTGCCGACGACAGCGCACCTACCGCCGTCGCAGATGGTGCACCCGGTTGCGGCGGCCGCCGCGGCTGCCTCTTATTACGCCTCGCGATATGCGCCGTACGGAAGTCCAGTGCCCGTCACCACCGCATCTGCTTTACATAGGCCTCACCCACGCACGATCGCGGACTTCCCCGGTCACCCACCGTTGCTGCACCCTCACGCTCACCTCGCACCCGGTCCACTTCACAATGGCTTGGGTTTGCCGACGATCGGCAATCCGCCGGCTTTCCTAGTCAGCAGCCCGCCATCGTCAGCCGCCACTACCACGTACCGGCACACTACGCTGAGAGATCTCAGCCCGGTCAACTCGGATGCGTCCAGCGACTGCGATTATGTCGGTGGGCAACAACAACATCGTACGTCGCAGCCTTGTGGCATCGGCGCGCTGCCGACGCAGCAGCAGCAGCAGCAACAGCAACCTCAACAACAACAGCAGCAACCTCAACAGCAACCGCAGCTGATGGACGCGCGGGATGACGAGGAGATTCAGTCTATGAGACTCCCAGTCGCCCACGGTCTAACCGAGTCCTTGTCGAGCACATTCGAGAAGAGGAGCAACGTGTATAACAACACGCCGGTCTCTTCGTCAGTCTCGCTCGCAACTACGGCGCAGACGACCAAGCTCGAGCCACCAAAATTATTCCAACCTTATAAGAACGACATAACCGAACGAGTGTGAAGCCATAAGCCGTGGAGAAAATGCAGTCACCAGGTGCCGCTTACGCCTTAACGCTTGTTCACTGGGACTCTCAGGCGGTATGGACTTGTACTCAGCGCCGTTTTCTGTATAGTTCTTAAATAAAAAAAAAAGTTACTGGGCCTTCCTACGACTTCTCAACCTCACGTTCACGAAACTGACGCGATCTAATCTTGTAAAATAAAATTATTGATGTATTCTGAGCGATATCCAACACACCGTGTTATAATTTGTGTGACACAGTGTATTAGGTGCACTCAAACCCCAGAGATCTCAAAATCTTATTGCACCAAAAGTATAAAGTAAAATGCAAAAATATAGCGTAAAACATGTAAGATAATTTAAATTCTTTTTGTAGTGAGTATTAAAACTGATATTCTGCGTTATAGCGTTTGACACTTATTATTTGTTGTTAATCAAGAGACATGGTAGCACATCTCGCTTCTGATAAGCATATAATATAATAGTTTTACGAGAGACGATACCACGTATCCTTCATAGGAACGAGAATGCTTTCTCGGATGTAAATCGCTGTAATTTTTAAATAAACCGTTTTTATTATAAGCGATGTGAACACGTAAGAGCAATGTTGATTTTTCCGACCCTTTATTACTTTTACAAACTTTACTAACTAAGGTAAGTTCCACGAGACATTCGACTTCTGGATATTGAATACTGCTTTTATCCCTTCTATGGATGTGCGAAATATACAGGGTGTTTGTGACACAAGTCGTATCAACGTTCGTGTGCATGTCAAAGTGAGCGATATCCTTTTGCAAACAACCAATAGTTGACCAATAGTTGACTGTGACAAATAATTATCCACACATTGGGTGCATCAGTGAGCGCTCAGTGAGCAGTTGTAGTACTGAATGCACCCATTGCTCATATCGTTTCTCCGCCTCTGTATCGTCCAATAGTCATTGTTGCTAAGAAGCAGTCACCATTTTCCATGCGATCGTGCCCCGACAGAGTTCATTTCATCGTTTTATCGCGCGCGCTAATTCTTCAATTTGCTTTCGTTAATAACTCAAAATTTTTCGTGCTTGTTTGCAAAATGATTAGAGATTCTATTACTCATTTCGATGTATTTTACACGAACACGAGTGTTGGTGCGCTTTGTGTTAGACACCGCGTATATTTAACAAAAGAACTGCCATAACTGTTCGACGCTGATTTATTTCTCCATAAAATATGTTGTTAAATACAAACAAAAATAAGAAACGCACATTTCTTTATAAGTGCTTATACACGGTGATCGACACGGTGCAGGGCTTAAATTTGATGCCGTTTTCGTTGTGTGCACCGCAGCGTGATTCTTCGTCTACTATGTCCTAGAAGTTAGGAAATATCGAAATGGAGCTATACAACAGCGCGTGCGTATCGTACAGTGTTTTTATAAAAATTAGCATTTGATAACACAGATTGAGGAGAAAAGTCCTCTTCCATTTTTTAAATTACGTAAAATTTTTGTTTATTAGAGAAAGAAGATTAGTGTGCGGACGCAGTCGCATAGAATATGGCTGACCGTACAATTGTCTCTTCCACTGATTGTCCTATTTCTGGGTGCTTCTCTCCCTGAAGAAGTGAAATGGAATGTTCTTGAAACATGGGAAACGAATTCAAAAAAGACGCGACGCAAATCCGAAATCCGAAAATCAAATCAAATGTATAAAAATATTTATGTACATTATTTATTAAAATTTATGTTTAAAAGAATTTTTCCTTTAAAAGAACGGATTAACGAATTTTTCGATTCGATTATTTTACAAGTCGACATATGAATAATATTTCTAGAAATTAATTGTTAAGTAAAGGAGGAGTTTTGCTAAGGAAGAAGTTTTAATAATAATAATATCAAAATGAGACATTATCTATTACCACCTCTATGACAATCGCTTCTATATCGTATAATTTCTATCAGAATATTTTTTCTTCTATTCTTATATTTTGGGGATATTCAACGCGATGGTAGTTATCATCTTCATTCCGTGCACTGTGCAAAAATATTAAAATTGCACGAAAATAAAAACAATACATACCTGAACTTTGTCCTTTCTGAATCTTCTCTCCAAAAAAATTCTAACCTAACCTAATCTAACTTAATTTATCATTGTAATATTGATATACGTCAGGAAATATACACACACCGGTATAATATTTTTAACATATGAAGTTATACTGCTTTGTGTGTACATTTTTTAATAACAAATACAAATATTATAATAATACTGATCTAGTCAGATTTGATTAGGTTTTTTCGAGTAGGAAGAGAGCTCTGTCCCGCTCTAATTTATACATGCACTGCTTTTACATATACATCAGTGATAATACGTATTTTTATTATATTCTACATTCTCTCTTCATATATATTTGTGTGTGTGCGTGTGTGTGTGTGTGTGTCGTTCATAACATTTTTCAAAGCAATGAGCGGCAACTGAAACCTTTTAGATGCTATTTAGAGTTGAACATTTCTTAGAGAATGACCTGAACAACATATGAAAGTGAAAGTTAAGACAGATGGAGGTAGTAGTTTTGTAGATATTTATTGCCAAACAAACCCAAATTCAGACAAATAAGAATACTGAATTAAGAGAAACCGTTCTTTTGTTTGCACATTTGTTCTTTTTTTTTTACACATTTAGCTCCAGAATTGTTTGTACAGATTTTTTTGAATGAAATTGCAGCTTTCTAGATTTTCGCTTTTAAGAAACATTGGTGAAACGTGAACGGTTATTGCAGCAGTCGAAGTGACGATACATGTGACATCTCCGACGTCACAACTGCAATAGAGGATCCAAAACAAACGTTAGTATTTTTATTGCGTTTTATTATATCTGTGTTATCTGAATATAGCCTCAAAATATCTATATTCCGAATTTATTGTTAGCAATATAAGCTTAAACAATGATTTACCAGATGATGTATAAAAGTTGTATCCTTATGAGTGATTCACATGCTCATATATATCGTAATGTACGACGAAATACAACCACGAAAAAAATACGAAAAAAGTTATTGCAATTTTCTTAAAATGATATATAAAATTAGATAAAGAAATCTGAGAGATTAACTTTTACTAAACTCGCCAATGCGAACATTAATGTAATAAAAATTTTATATCATTGTATGAGGTAAATTCAAGAATCGATTCAATACAGTATATTTACTCCATGAATTAATTGAAAAGATTGTAAAATTTTTATCATAGGTTGCCTCTCATTATGGCAATCATGAAAGCCTAACCGAGATGGTTACGAGAAAAACGGCTTGAAACTCCGCCAGCGATTAGAAACATGAGAAAAAAGAGGAAAGAGGATCTTTTCTCGCGTGAACGCAAGATATGAAGTTTCGAAATTGCGGGGCCATAAAAATATAAACGAAAACGTTTCTAGAAAACGACACGGCTGCGTTGGAAAAGAACACCCCATACAAGGGAGGGATATAAAATACGTAGGCGTGCGCTTTGTTGTTGCAACCCCAGGTCTAATTGTCGTAAAAACCCTTTTTCGAAGCGGCAGTGTCGGCGGACCGATGATCGTTTTCCAATTTTCCAAGGATTGTATCGCAGACAGAAAAACGAGTTCTATTTCTGACACGAACTTTATTACGGTAGTCCGGAAGAAAAAAGGATCGTGAGTCCTCCTACTTTCCACACGAGGAAAAAATTCGCCCTGTAGAAACGACTCTTTACGTTCGAAACTTTAAACCACTTTTCACCTCGTTTAGGTAATCCAGATTATTGTTTTGCTAAAATGATGCGAGGGATACTCGGTTAATGTACACAGAAAATATGAGAAAAATGTTTAAAGAGTTGCTTAATCCTTTCACTGCTGAATTAATTTCCCTTGAGAAAATTATTAAAATATTTGACAGTTCTGCGTTTTTTGGGTCGCTGATTATGACTCTAAAGTCAGATTTGCAAAATTCAAAATGGCGGACTCAGTATGGCGATCATGATGTGGAAAATTAATGAAAATTCCAATTATTATTAAATAATGACCAGATTATAATAAGAACATATGATTCTAGACGATGGAACTCGATCGAGCTGGAAAAAATTTATGCGGGAAAATGTTCAATACTGCATATTTATGCTTACTTACAGATTAAACATTCATTTTTGAGTAAAATAATATTGATAGTATGGATAAGATGGAGATACAGAATGAAAAAACTATAGGAAAATAGATAGGAAAATAGATCTAAAAAGTTAACAAAAAATCAAATATTGGCCGTTTTTGTAGAAATATTTGTTTATAAAAAAAAATCTAACCTGCAAAAAAAATACTGAAAAAAATATATATTTTTGTACATCAGAAAAATATTTGATGAAAATTTCAGACCTCTACATTCAATACTTTCCGAGGAATCGATTTTTCCCTAAAAAAGCATTTTTTTCAACTTTAATTTGTTATAAATAATCACAAATAAATAATTGGGTATAAAAACCTATTGGAGTATGTTGAACAACTATTCAGTTATTTGGAAAACTCAAATCCCCGATTAGTTCTTCAAAATGATTTACAACGCAAAATTGAATCAAGAAAAGGTGAGAAGTATACTTCCCACTAGCAGTGAAAGGGTTAACACTTTCGAGTTACAAGAAATCCTTCTGGCATATCTTTTTCTTCTTTTATAAAGGGAATCTATTTACAGAATCTAACTTAAATTGGACATGGACATTTCTAAAAATTTCGCCCAAAAATTGAGTCGTTTTGTGCATCACGCTTAGTGCGAATGAATTTAATTATAAATTATAACGAGTTATTCATTATTCTCTCTCCCCTTCTCTTCTTATCTTCCCCTTCTCCCATTTCTATTTATTTATCGGTCTATCTCTCCTACGTTACAGGGGACATCTCCCGAACCAGATCCCGATTTTCGAGAACAATCTGTTAGCCCTGCACGTCGCAGCATCCGTCTGTCGCGCAACTACGTTATCTTATCTGCGCGACTATTGAGTCTCATTCAATGGGGTGCACTTGTAACGATCTATTTACGATATCGCTGCTCACCGTCGATGAACGTCACGTGACTCGCGACTCCATCGCGATGACGATAAAACTTAGGCGAATCCAATTCTGCAGACACGATATTGACATTGACAGATGAACGTGGGAAGCTGTTAGAGAAGAAACCATTTAACTAGGTTATTAAATGAAGAATTATCTTATGAGGTTACTCTGATACTTACATCGAGCGATTTTCCATTCAGCGAATTTTATGTTGTTCGAAGTCGTAGATCTCCTCAATGAGAATTTCTCTTTTGTCTGTTATGCGTAAAACTTTTTTTGTTTCCTCGCTTATTCTCTGTTCAGCGAAAGTGACGAAACCTTTAGAAACCCGTTGGACACGGCAGAAAACACGGAGAAGAAGGAACAAAGACCGAAGCATTAGACATTGAAAAGTGGCATAATATTTGTGGCCATAGGGTCGTATGGTTAACTAAAAGGCTAAAATTATTGAGTGTCGTACCTAACTGATTGTGAAAGCGTGTATTTTACCATGACTGAAGAAGAGACCTTGGCGCTATTACCTTCAGCATTCACTCACAAGAGTCTGACCGCGA